GTACATGTAATTCCTACTAATTAGGGATCATAAACTCTATATTCCTAAATAAATTTGAATTAGGAGTACATGTAATTACTACCATTAGGAATTGCGAACCATTAATTATGTCTTTAAGGAAAATCTTGCAACCACCTTTTAGCTTGTCATAAAATCTATAAAAGGATTATTACACAGTAATTGAATCTGGACTAAACTATTATTGCTAAAATAGAAGACTTAAAATTAAAATCGTATTGTCTTAATTAATAATTATGACAGTACTATTTTAATTATGACAATAGTTAATAAGAAAAAAATTTAATTTGTAAATACTATTACTGATTGAGTTTGAAGTTCAATTTCGACAATAAATTGAACTTTCCAAAAATACATACCACTCCCATCACTATATAAAGCCAACAATTCTTACACACATCCATATATCCATTGCAAGATAAGACACTACAACTACGTACTACACAAATAGCTAACTGTTCATTCTTCATAATGGTTTATATAGCTCTCTTCTTTAGTACTTCTGCTTACAATTAGCGACGTTCTTCTTTCTAAGTTTCTTCTTCCTGTTCTTCAAACTTGGTTCAACACCTTCTCAACTTAGTTCAGACCGTATTCGTTGTCTTAAATTTTTGTTAATTGGTGAAATACTAGTCTTCTTGGCAATAGGATTGTACTTTGACTGTCTTAATTGATTGATTTTTGTTGTTGTATATGTTTATCCGTACAGATTCGATTCTTAATTACTCTCGTCTTCCTGCTTGGCACCTTTAGCCAAGGTAAAAGCCAACTCTTAAACGTCTTGAGTTTTGGGGCTGTTGGAGATGCTCGAACTGATGACTCAAATGTATATATAATTAAATATCTAATATATATGATCTATATATACATATATGTTCGTTAAAATTTTTCTAATTAACTATATATATCTTGTATTATATGTACATTCAAGGCTTTCTTGGATTGGTGGAGACGTGTTTGTGAGGCCACTACTACAAGTGGAGCCACCATCCCGACTCTGCAGGTTCCGGCAGGCAAGACCTTGTTGAAACAAGTCAAATTCTCTGGACCCTGCAAATCGACAACCGTTCAAATCCAATGACATGGTATTTTGTACATGTCTAATTTTGTGTGATTAATTGTACTGTACGTTTATTTTGTAGTGTGGGAAGCCTTGGAAAAGATGGATCCAATGATATGGTGGAAGAGGTGCATGTTCGTAATTGTACATTTAATGGAACTCAGAATGGAGCAAGGATAAAGACATGGGGAATAAATTTTCTTCTTCATATATAGATAATAACCTGAAATCTATTCCTCAATATCTAAAATAACTTTCTTTTGTTTTACGTATCATACGAGGACATTATTCTTATAGGAACGGGCAATCCCGTATTTATTGATCAACATTGTTGTCCACACCAAAGTTGTCCACCTGAAAAGGTAAAAAATATATTATATTTTTATTAAAATATATAAATATTAGTTTTACTTAATTAATTAAACATTGATATATATTTTTCTAATTAACAGGGAACTGCAGTAAAAATAAGTGATGTAACATTTAACATTGATAAATGTAAAGAAGGTTAATCCACTTATATTCAATTGGTTTTAAATTGGATGCAAACCTTGTGTTGAGCCTACATGCACAGTTTTCAATAATAGCAAAGCTGAAGTAATATGCAACAACGCGCAAGGCACGGCTGCATCGACTGCCCCTGTTGTCCGTGCCTATCAAGTGTTCAAGACATTCTTATTAGAAGAGAGGGACAAACTCAAGATGGGGACAGCGAACCTCAATATAATGAGCTTTAATTTTTTTTTTTTTTTTCCATTCTAATCATGGAAGTTTAACGATTTGTAATTAATCATTTGATTTTATTTTAGCACATTAAAGAT